GTTGATGTGTAGAGGGGGGGTGGCCCATAAGTCAGGACACACGACGGTGGTGATGACTTCGTTGTTGTGTAGAGGGGGCGTGGCCCATAAGTCAGGACACACGGCGGTGGTGATGACGTTGTTGTTGTGTAGAGGGGGGGTGGCCCATAAGTCAGGACACACGGCGGTGGTGATGACGTTGTTGTTGTGTAGAGGGGGGGTGGCCCATAAGTCAGGACACACGACGGTGGTGATGACGTCGTTGTTGTGTAGAGGGGGGGTGGCCCATAAGTCAGGACACACGACGGTGGTGATGACGTTGTTGTTGTGTAGAGGGGGGGTGGCCCATAAGTCAGGACACACGACGGTGGTGATGACGTCGTTGTTGTGTAGAGGGGGGGTGGCCCATAAGTCAGGACACACGGCGGTGGTGATGACGTTGTTGTTGTGTAGAGGGGGGGTGGCCCATAAGTCAGGACACACGACGGTGGTGGTGATGACGTCGTTGTTGTGTAGAAGGGGGGTGGCCCATAAGTCAGGACACACGGCGGTGGTGATGACGTTGTTGTTGTGTAGAGGGGGGGTGGCCCATAAGTCAGGACACACGGCGGTGGTGATGACGTTGTTGTTGTGTAGAGGGGGCGTGGCCCATAAGTCAGGACACACGGTGGCGGTGGTGACGTTGTTGTTGTTGTGTAGAGGGGGGGTGGCCCATAAGTCAGGACACACGACGGTCGTGATGACGTTGTTGATGTGTAGAGGGGGGGTGGCCCATAAGTCAGGACACACGGCGGTGGTGATGACGTTGTTGTTGTGTAGAGGGGGGGTGGCCCATAAGTCAGGACACACGACGGTGATGATGACGTCGTTGTTGTGTAGAGGGGGGGTGGCCCATAAGTCAGGACACACGACGGTGATGACGTCGTTGATGTGTAGAGGGGGGGTGGCCCATAAGTCAGGACACACGGCGGTGGTGATGACGTTGTTGGTGTGTAGGGGGGGGTGGCCCATAAGTCAGGACACACGGCGGTGGTGATGACGTTGTTGTTGTGTAGAGGGGGGGTGGCCCATAAGTCAGGACACACGATGGCGGTGGTGACGTTGTTGTGTAGAGGGGGCGTGGCCCATAAGTCAGGACACACGACGGTGGTGATGACGTTATTGTTGTGTAGAGGGGGGGTGGCCCATAAGTCAGGACACACGACGGTGGTGGTGATGACGTCGTTGTTGTGTAGAGGGGGGGTGGCCCATAAGTCAGGACACACGGCGGTGGTGATGACGTTGTTGTTGTGTAGAGGGGGGGTGGCCCATAAGTCAGGACACACGGCGGTGGTGATGACGTTGTTGTTGTGTAGAGGGGGCGTGGCCCATAAGTCAGGACACACGGTGGCGGTGGTGACGTTGTTGTTGTTGTGTAGAGGGGGGGTGGCCCATAAGTCAGGACACACGACGGTGGTGATGACGTTGTTGATGTGTAGAGGGGGGGTGGCCCATAAGTCAGGACACACGGCGGTGGTGATGACGTTGTTGTTGTGTAGAGGGGGGGTGGCCCATAAGTCAGGACACACGACGGTGATGATGACGTCGTTGTTGTGTAGAGGGGGGGTGGCCCATAAGTCAGGACACACGACGGTGATGACGTCGTTGATGTGTAGAGGGGGGGTGGCCCATAAGTCAGGACACACGGCGGTGGTGATGACGTTGTTGGTGTGTAGGGGGGGGTGGCCCATAAGTCAGGACACACGGCGGTGGTGATGACGTTGTTGTTGTGTAGAGGGGGGGTGGCCCATAAGTCAGGACACACGATGGCGGTGGTGACGTTGTTGTGTAGAGGGGGCGTGGCCCATAAGTCAGGACACACGACGGTGGTGATGACGTTATTGTTGTGTAGAGGGGGGGTGGCCCATAAGTCAGGACACACGACGGTGGTGATGACGTTGGTGTGTAGAGGGGGGGTGGCCCATAAGTCAGGACACACGGCGGTGGTGATGACGTAGTTGTTGTGTAGAGGGGGTGGCCCATAAGTCTGGACACACGGCGGTGGTGATGACGTAGTTGATGTGTAGAGGGGGGGTGGCCCATAAGTCAGGACACACGGCGGTGGTGATGACGTTGTTGTTGTGTAGAGGGGGGGTGGCCCATAAGTCAGGACACACGGCGGTGGTGACGTCGTTGATGTGTAGAGGGGGGGTGGCCCATAAGTCAGGACACACGGCGGTGATGACGTCATTGATGTGTAGAGGGGGGGTGGCCCATAAGTCAGGACACACGGCGGTGGTGATGACGTCGTTGTTGTGTAGAGGGGGGGTGGCCCACAAGTCAGGACACACGGCGGTGATGATGACGTTGTTGTTGTGTAGAGGGGGGGTGGCCCATAAGTCAGGACACACGGCGGTGGTGACGTCGTTGATGTGTAGAGGGGGGGTGGCCCATAAGTCAGGACACACGGCGGTGATGACGTCGTTGATGTGTAGAGGGGGGGTGGCCCATAAGTCAGGACACACGATGGCGGTGATGACGTCGTTGTTGTGTAGAGGGGGGGTGGCCCACAAGTCAGGACACACGGCGGTGGTGGTGACGTTGTTGTGTAGAGGGGGGGGTGGCCCATAAGTCAGGACACACGATGGCGGTGGTGATGACGTTGTTGTTGATGTGTAGAGGGGGGGTGGCCCACAAGTCAGGACACATGACGACATCAGCGGTGCGTGAGTGCTGTACCCAGTCCGCCCCTGCGCTCCAGGTAGGCGGCCACGACTTTGCCGTAGCGAGCGAGCGACTTGGCGTAGCCCAACGCCGCCTCCACTCCGCCCTCAAGGCTCGTGGCGCGCAGGTCCACAGACTCGGGGGACAGCAGCGCTGGGGGGAGGGGGTGGGTGGGTGGGAGGGGGGAGGGGCGAGGGGAGGGGGGAGGGGCGGGGGTGGGGGGGAAGAGGAGGGGGTGGGTGGGAGGGGGGAGGGGAAGGGGAGGGGCGAGGGGCGAGGGGAGGGGGGGGCGAGGGGTGAGGGGGTGGGTGGGAGGGGGAGAGGGGGTGGGTGGGAGGGAGAGGGTGGGGGTGGGTGGGAGGGGGGAGGAGAAGGGGAGGGGCGAGGGGAGGGGGAGGGGCGAGGGGGAGGGGAGGGGCGAGGGGAGGGGGGAGGGGCGAGGGGAGAGGGGAGGGTGAGAGGGGGGTAGATGTTGTGATTTTGAGGGTCGTGATGATGGTGTAAGTGATGGTGGTGATGATTGTGATGATGGTGATGATGTTGATGATGATTGTGATGATTGTGATTATGTTGATGATGATGATTGTGATGATGATTATGGTGATGATGATAACTGTGATGGTGATGATGTTGATTATGATTGTGATGATTGTGATGTTGATGATTGCGATGTTGATGATGGTGATGATGATAACTGTGATGGTGATGATGTTGTTGATGATGATGATGTTGATGATGATGGTGATGATGTTGATGATGATTGTGATGGTGATGATGATGATGATTGTGATGATGATTTGTGATGATGATTGTGATGATGATGATGATTGTGATGATGTTGATGATGATTGTGATGGTGATGATGATGATGTTGATGATGTTGGTGATGATTGTAACGGTGATGATGTTGATGATGGAGATGATGATGATGATTGTGATGATGATGATTGTGATGATGTTGATGATGATGGTGATGATGGTGATGATGTTGATGATGATTGTGATGATGATGATGTTGATGATGGTGATGATGTTGATGATGTACCTGCATTCTGCAAGCTATCCTTATCAGTTTCAGCATCACCATCCACACCATCATCACCATCATCACCATCATCACCATCATCTCCATCCCTATCCTGCACACATTCTCCCATAGACTTCAATGTTAAAGTATCCCGTAGACATCAATGTTAAAGTCTACCCATAGACTTCAATGTTAAAGTTTCCCCATAGACTTCAATGTTAAAGTCTCCCATAGACTTCAATGTTAAAGTCTCCCGATAGACTTCAATGTTAAAGTCTCCCATAGACTTCAATGTTAAAGTCTCTACCCATAGACTTCAATGTTAAAGTCTCCCATAGACTTCAATGTTAAAGTGTCTACCCATAGACTTCAATGTTAAAGTCTACCCATAGACTTCAATGTTAAAGTTTCCCCATAGACTTCAATGTTAAAGTCTCCCATAGACTTCAATGTTAAAATCTCCCGATAGACTTCAATGTTAAAGTCTCCCATAGACTTCAATGTTAAAGTCTCTACCCATAGACTTCAATGTTAAAGTCTCCCATAGACTTCAATGTTAAAGTGTCTACCCATAGACTTCAATGTTAAAGTCTCCCCATAGACTGCAATGTTAAAGTCTCCCCATAGACTTCAATGTTAAAGTCTCCCCATAGACTTCAATGTTAAAGTCTCCCATAGACTTCAATGTTAAAGTGTCTACCCATAGACTTCAATGTTAAAGTCTCCCCATAGACTTCAATGTTAAAGTCTCTACCCATAGACTTCAATGTTAAAGTCTCTACCCATAGACTTCAATGTTAAAGTCTCCCCATAGACCTCAATGTTAAAGTCCCTACCCATAGACTTCAATGTTAAAGTCTCCGCATAGACTTCAATGTTAAAGTCTCCCATAGACTTAAATGTTAAAGTCTCCCCATAGACTTCAGTGTTAAAGTCTCCCCATAGACTTCAATGTTAAAGTCTCTACCCATAGACTTCAATGTTAAAGTCTCCCCATACACTTCAGTGTTAAAGTCTCCCCATAGTCTTCAATGTTAAAGTCTCCACATAGACTTCAATGTTAAAGTCTCCCCATAGACGTCAGTGTTAAAGTCTCTACCCATAGACTTCAATGTTAAAGTCTCCCTATAGACTTCAATGTTAAAGTCTCCCCATAGACTTCAGTGTTAAAGTCTCCCCATAGACTTCAGTGTTAAAGTCTCTACCCATAGACTTCAATGTTAAAGTCTCCCATAGACTTCAATGTTAAAGTCTCCCATAGACTTCAATGTTAAAGTCTCTACCCATAGACTTCAATGTTAAAGTCTCTACCCATAGACTTCAATGGTAAAGTCTCCCATAGACCCCAATGTTAAAGTCTCCCATAGACTTCAATGTTAAAGTCTCCGCATAGACTTCAATGTTAAAGTCTCCCATAGACTTCAATGTTAAAGTCTCCCCATAGACTTCAATGTTAAAGTCTCGCTTAGACTTCAATGTTGAAGTCTCCCATAGACTTCAATGTTAAAGTCTCCCACAGAATCCAATGTTAAAGTCTCCCCATAGACCTCAATGTTAAAGTCTCCCCATAGACTTCAATTTTAAAGTCTCCCCATAGACTTCAATGTTAAAGTCTCGCATAGACTTCAATGTTGAAGTCTCCCATAGACTTCAATGTTAAAGTCTCCCATAGACGTCAATGTTAAAGTCTCCCACAGACTCCAATGTTAAAGTCTCCCATAGACTCCAATGTTTTATGCGTCTACTCATAGACTTCAATGTTAAAGTCTCTACCCATAGACTTCAATGTTAAAGTCTCTACCCATAGACTTCAATGTTAAAGTCTCTACCCATAGACTTCAATGTTAAAGTCTCCCATAGACTTCAATGTTAAAGTCTCCCATAGACTTCAATGTTAACGTGTCTACCCATAGACTTCAATGTTAAAGTCTCCCCATAGACTTCAATGTTAAAGTCTCCCCATAGACTCCAATGTTAAAGTCTCCCATAGACTTCAATGTTAAAGTCTCCGCATAGTCTTCAATGTTAAAGGCTCCCATAGACTTCAATGTTAAAGTCTCCCATAGACTTCAATGTTAAAGTCTCCCATAGACATCAATGTTAAAGTCTCCCATAGAGTAATGGGTCTCTATAATTGTGGGTCTCTATGAGTGTGGGTCTCTATGAATGTGGGTCTCTATGAGTATGGATCTCTGTGGGTCTCTATTGGTGTGGATCTCTGTGGGTTTCTATTAGTGTGGGTCTCTGTGGGTCTCTATGAGTGTGGGTCTCTGTGTGTCTCTATGAGCGTGGGTCTCTATGAGTGTGGGTCTCTGTGGGTCTCTATGAGTGTGGGTCTCTGTGGGTCTCTATGAGTGTGGGTCTCTGTGTGTCTCTATTAGTGTGGGTCTCTGTGGGTCTCTATGAGTGTGGGTCTCTGTGGGTCTCTATGAGTGTGGGTCTCTGTGTGTCTCTATTAGTGTGGGTCTCTGTGGGTCTCTATGAGTGTGGGTCTCTGTGTGTCTCTATGAGTGTGGGTCTCTGTGTGTCTCTATTAGTGTGGGTCTCTGTGGGTCTCTATGAGTGTGGGTCTCTGTGTGTCTCTATGAGTGTGGGTCTCTGTGGGTCTCTATGAGTGTGGATCTCTGTGGGTCTCTATGAGTGTGGGACTCTGTGGGTCTCTATGAGTGTGGGTCTCTGTGGGTCTCTATGAGTGTGGGTCTCTGTGGGTCTCTATGGGTGTGGGTCTCTGTGGGTCTCTATGGGTGTGGGTCTCTGTGAGTCTCTATGAGTGTGGGTCGCTGTGGGTCTCTATGAGTGTGGGTCTCTGTGGGTCTCTATGAGTGTGGGTCTCTGTGGGTCTCTATGAGTGTGGATCTCTGTGGGTCTCTATGAGTGTGGGACTCTGTGGGTCTCTATGAGTGTGGGTCTCTGTGGGTCTCTATGAGTATGGGTCTCTGTGGGTCTCTATGGGTGTGGGTCTCTGTGGGTCTCTACGAGTATGGATCTCTATGAGTGTGAGTGTGGGTCTCTGTAGGTCTCTATGAGTATGGGTCTCTATGGGTTTCTGTGAGTATGGGTCTCTGTGGGTCTCTATGAGTGTGAGTCTCTGTGGGTCTCTGTGAGTGTGGGTCTCTATGAGTGTGGGTCTCTATAAGTCTCTATGAGTGTGAGTCTCTGTGGGTCTCTGTGAGTGTGGGTCTCTGTGGGTCTCTATTAGTGTGGGTCTCTGTGGGTCTCTATGAGTGTGGGTCTCTGTGTGTCTCTATAATTGTGGGTCTCTGTGGGTCTCTATGAGTGTGGGTCTCTGTGTATCTCTATGAGTGTGGGTCTCTGTGTGTCTCTATGAGTGTGGGTCTCTATGAGTATGGGTCTCTGTGTGTTTCTATGAGTGTGGGTCTCTATGAGTATGGGTCTCTATGGGTTTCCATGAGTGTGGGTCTCTGTGGGTCTCTATTAGTGTGGGTCTCTGTGGGTCTCTATGAGTGTGGATCTCTGTGTGTCTCTATGAGTATGGGTCTCTATTTGTCTTGATGAGTGTGGGTCTCTGTGGGTCTCTATGGGTGTGGGTCTCTGTGGGTCTCTATGAGTGTGGGTCTCTGTGGGTCTCTATGGGTGTGGGTCTCTGTGGGTCTCTATTAGTGTGGGTCTCTGTGGGTCTCTATGAGTGTGGGTCTCTGTGTGTCTCTATAATTGTGGGTCTCTGTGGGTCTCTATGAGTGTGGGTCTCTGTGTATCTCTATGAGTGTGGGTCTCTGTGTGTCTCTATGAGTGTGGGTCTCTATGAGTATGGGTCTCTGTGTGTCTCTATGAGTGTGGGTCTCTATGAGTGTGGGTTACTGTAGGTCTCTATGAGTATGGGTCTCTATGGGTTTCTATGAGTGTGGGTCTCTGTGGGTCTCTATTAGTGTGGGTCTCTGTGGGTCTCTATGAGTGTGGATCTCTGTGTGTCTCTATAATTGTGGGTCTCTGTGGGTCTCTATGAGTGTGGGTCTCTAGAGCGTGGGTCTCTATGAGTGTGGGTCTCTGTGGGTCTCTATGAGTATGGGTCTCTATTTGTCTTGATGAGTGTGGGTCTCTGTGGGTCTCTATGAGTGTGGGTCTCTGTGGGTCTCTATGAGTATGGGTCTCTATTTGTCTTGATGAGTGTGGGTCTCTGTGGGTCTCTATGGGTGTGGGTCTCTGTGGGTCTCTATGAGTGTGGGTCTCTGTGGGTCTCTATGGGTGTGGGTCTCTGTGGGTCTCTATTAGTGTGGGTCTCTGTGGGTCTCTATGAGTGTGGGTCTCTGTGTGTCTCTATAATTGTGGGTCTCTGTGGGTCTCTATGAGTGTGGGTCTCTGTGTATCTCTATGAGTGTGGGTCTCTGTGTGTCTCTATGAGTGTGGGTCTCTATGAGTATGGGTCTCTGTGTGTCTCTATGAGTGTGGGTCTCTATGAGTGTGGGTTACTGTAGGTCTCTATGAGTATGGGTCTCTATGGGTTTCTATGAGTGTGGGTCTCTGTGGGTCTCTATTAGTGTGGGTCTCTGTGGGTCTCTATGAGTGTGGATCTCTGTGGGTCTCTATGAGTGTGGGTCTCTGTGGGTCTCTATGAGTGTGGGTCTCTGTGGGTCTCTATGGGTCTCTATGAATCTGCGTGTTGTGTGGGTGTCTATGGGTGTGGGTGTCTATGGGTCTCTATGAGTGTGGGTGTCTATGGGTATGGGTGTCTATGGGTCTCTATGATTCTCCGTGTTGTGTGGGTGTCTATGGGTGTGGATCTCTATGGGTTTCTATGAGTCTGCGTGTAGTGTGGGTGTCTATGGGTGTGGGTCTCTATGGGTCTCTATGATTCTCCGTGTTGTGTGGGTGTCTATGGGTGTGGGTCTCTATGGGTCTCTATGAATCTGCGTGTTGTGTGGGTGTCTATGGGTGTGGGTGTCTATGGGTCTCTATGAGTGTGGGTGTCTATGGGTATGGGTGTCTATGGGTCTCTATGATTCTCCGTGTTGTGTGGGTGTCTATGGGTGTGGGTCTCTATGGGTCTCTATGTACTGTGGGTGTCTATGGGTGTGGGTCTCTATGGGTCTCTATGTACTGTGGGTCTCTATGAATGTGGGTCTCTATGAGTCTCTATTAGTCTCTATGAGTCTGTGTGTAGTGTGGGTCTCTATGAGTCTCTATGGGTCTCTATGTAGTGTGGGTGTCTATGGGTGTGGGTCTCTATGTACTGTGGGTCTCTATGGGTCTCTATGTACTGTGGGTCTCTATGGGTCTGTATGAGTCTGTGTGTAGTGTGGGTCTCTATGAGTGTGGGTCTCTATGGGTCTCTACGAGTCTCTATGTACTGTGGGTGTCTATGGGTGTGGGTCTCTATGGGTCTCTATGGGTCTCTATGAGTCTCTATGTAGTGTGGGTGTCTATGGGTGTGCGTCTCTATGAGTCTCTATGTACTGTGGGTCTCTATGAGTGTGGGTGTCTATGGGTGTGGGTCTCTATGAGTGTGGGTCTCTATGAGTCTCTATGGGTCTCTATGGGTCTCTATGAGGCTCTATGAGTCTCTATGTACTGTTGGTGTCTATGGGTGTGGGTGTCTATGGGTGTGGGTCTCTATGAGTCTCTATGTACTGTGGGTCTCTATGAGTGTGGGTCTCTATGGGTCTCTATGTAGTGTGGGTGTCTATGAGTGTGGGTCTCTATGTAGTGTGGGTCTCTATGAGTGTGGATCTCTATGAGTCTCTGACCTGGATGCCGATTGGATGCAAGGAGCTGTCGTCATCGCCCATCAGAAAGTCAGAGACGCTGTGGACGTCAAAGACAGACAGAGACACAGGTCCCCCAGATAGCCGTCAGCATGCTGTAGGGGCAAGTGCTGTTACACACGGAAACATTCACTCAACTACACAGCCACACACCCACTCACCCACCCACTCACCCACACACTCACCCACTCACTCACTCACCCACTCACTCACTCACCCACTCACACACTCACTCACCCACTCACACACTCACTCACCCACTCACTCACTCACCCACTCACCCACCCACTCACTCACTCACCCACTCACTCACTCACTCACCCACCCACTCACTCACCCACCCACTCACTCACCCACTCACACACTCACTCACCCACTCACTCACCCATCCACTCACTCACTCACTCACCCACTCACTCACTCACTCACCCACCCACCCACTCACTCACTCACCCACTCACCCACCCACTCACTCACTCACCCACTCACTCACTCACTCACCCACTCACTCACTCACACACTCACCCACTCACTCACTCACCCACCCACTCACTCACTCACCCACTCACCCACCCACTCACTCACTCACCCACTCACTCACCCACCCACTCACTCACTCACTCACCCACTCACTCACTCACTTACCCACCCACCCACCCACTCACTCACTCACCCACTCACTCACTCACTCACCTACTCACACACTCACTCACCCACTTACTCACCCATCCACTCACTCACTCACTCACCCACTCACTCACTCACCCACCCACTCACCCACCCACCCACTCACTCACTCACTCACCCACTCACTCACTCACTCACCCACCCACACACTCACCCACTCACTCACTCACTCACCCACTCACTCACTCACCCACTCACCCACCCACTCACTCACCCACTCACTTACTCACTCACCCACTCACTCACCCACTCACTCACCCACTCACCCACTCACTCACCCACTAACCCACTCACTCACCCACTCACTCACCCACTCACCCACTCACTCACCCACTCACTCACTCACTCAACTACTCACCCAGTCACTCACTCACCCACTCACCCACCCACTCACTCACCCACCCACTCACTCACTCACCCACTCACTCACCCACTCACTCACCCACTCACCCACTCACTCACTCACCCACTCACTCACCCACTCACTCACCCACTCACCCACTCACTCACCCACTAACCCACTCACTCACCCACTCACTCACCCACTCACCCACTCACTCACCCACTCACTCACTCAACCACTCACCCAGTCACTCACTCACCCACTCACCCACCCACTCACTCACCCACCCACTCACTCACTCACCCACTCACTCACCCACTCACTCACCCACTCACCCACTCACTCACTCACCCACTCACTCACCCACCCACCCACCCACTCACCCACCCACTCACTCACTCACCCACTCACTCACTCACCCACCCACCCACCCACTCACCCACTCACTCACTCACCCACCCACCCACTCACTCACCCACTCACTCACTCACTCACCCACCCACTCACTCACTCACCCACTCACTCACTCACCTGTTAGTGACTGCATCTGCTAAGTTGTCTATGGCAGACACCACGGATGTCAAATCCACCTCCTGTTCCTGCTGGTGCTGGGTAGAGGCAAAGCCTACGCAGAGATACATAGAGATACATATACATACACAGAGACCCATAAAGATACATAGAGATACATAGAGACACATAGAGACACATAGAGATACATAGAGACCCATAGAGATACATAGACATACATACAGACCCATAGATATACATAGAGATACATAAAGACCCATAGAGATACATAGATACCCATAAAGATACATAGAGATACATAGAGACCCATAGAGATACATAGAGACCCATAGAGACACATAGAGATCCATAGAGACCCATAGAGATACATAGAGATACATAGAAACCCATAGAGATACATAGATCTACATAGAGACCCATAGTGATACATAGAGACTCATAGAGATGCATAGAGATACATAGAGATACATAGAGACCCATAGAGATACATAGAGATACATAGAGACCCATAAAATCACGGAGATACATAGAGACACATAGAGATACATAGAGACTCATAGACATACATAGAGACCCATAGAGTGAGTGGGTGAGTGGGTGAGTGAGTGAGTGGGTGAGTGAGTAAGTGAGTGGGTGAGTGAGTGGGTGAGCAGGTGAGTGAGCGAGTGGGTGAGTGAGTGAGTGAGCAAGTGGGTGAGTAGGTGAGTGAGTGGGTGAGCGAGTGGGTGAGTGAGTGAGAAGGTGAGTGAGTGAGTGGGTGAGTGAGTGGGTGAGTGAGTGGGTGAGTGAGTGGGTGAGTGGGTGGGTGAGTGGGTGAGTGAGTGAGTGGGTGAGTGAGTGAGTGGGTGAGTGAGTGAGTGAGTGGGTGAGTGAGTGGGTGAGTGAGTGGGTGAGTGGGTGAGTTAGTGGGTGGGTGAGTGAGTGGGTGAGTGAGTGGGTGAGTGGGTGAGTGAGTGGGTGAGTGGGTGGGTGAGTGGGTGAGTGAGTGAGTGGGTGAGTGAGTGAGTGAGTGGGTGAGTGAGTGGGTGAGTGGGTGAGTTAGTGGGTGGGTGAGTGAGTGGGTGAGTGAGTGGGTGAGTGGGTGAGTGAGTGGGTGAGTGGGTGGGTGAGTGGGTGAGTAAGTGAGTGGGTGAGTGAGTGAGTGAGTGGGTGAGTGAGTGAGTGAGTGGGTGGTGTGAGTGAGTGAGTGGGTGAGTGAGTGAGTGAGTGGGTGAGTGAGTGGGTGAGTGGGTGAGTTAGTGGGTGGGTGAGTGAGTGGGTGAGTGAGTGGGTGAGTGAGCCTCACCCATCACCAGTGAAACGAGGTTTTCCGTGGCTGTGAGTGCTTCTGGTGAGTTTAGGTGAGGACATCGCTCCAGCAGCAGCTGTCGATCCTGCAGGACTGCTGCCAGATGATCCATCAACCGGCCCACCACTAGGTCCGCGCAGCCTGAAATGGGTCAAGCGAGATGGGTGAGTGGGTGAGTGGGTGGGTGAGTGAGTGAGTGAGTGACTGGGTGAGTGAGTGTGTGGGTGGGTGAGTGAGTGGGTGGGTGGGTGAGTGAGTGAGTCGGTGAGTGGGTGAGTGAGTGGGTGGGTGGGTGAGGGTGGCGTTTGTGCACAGACTGCCCTATATGACATCATAACAACAGTCTGGACCACTGGACGGGTTCCGCAGGATTGGAAGGATGCCCTGGTGGTCCCCCTTTTTAAGAAGGGGGACCGCACAGACTGTAACAACTACAGGGGCATCACACTCCTCAGTGTGCCGGGAAAGGTCCTGGCAAGGATTATTCAACATCGCCTTGCCAGGCACGCTGAGCAGAGGATTGCGGAGCCCCAATGCGGTTTCAGGAAAGGGCGGTCCTGCACAGATGCCATATTTTCTGTCCGTCTGCTACAGAGGTGTAGGGAATTCCAGCAAGATCTACATCTCTGCTTTATTGACCTGATCAAGGCCTATGATACCATCAGTAGGCCTGGGCTCTGGGTCGTTCTTCGTGCTTTTAGAGTACCTGACCCTCTGCTCACGATCATTAAGGACCTTCATGATGGCGAGCGGGCCCGGGTAAAACTACGTGGCCGGGAGTCAGAGCCATTCCCTGTACACCTTGGGGTGCCACAGGGATGTCCTCTGGCTCCCACATTATTTAACATCTATTTTTACCACGTAGTTCGTGAAGCCTTCAATAGCTGTACCAGGGGAATCTCCATATGGTACAGATATAATGGGAGGCTGATCGATGCCCGGGTGCGGTCAAGGGATGGCTCCCTATTGCTCAACCACGTTATGTATGCCGATGATTTGGTAATTGCTGCTCATTCAGAGGAGGAGTTCGAGATGCTGCTGCTGAGACTGGAGAGTGCCACTAAAAGATGGGGCCTTACCATCAGCCCCACCAAAACTAAGCACCTGCCTGGGTATTTTGTACCATCGGACACTCCACCAATCGGTGATGGGGCAGTTGTGGAGAGAGTGGAGAGTTTCCCATACTTGGGCAGTGTGCTTATGACTGGCTCCAGTTTAACAGCAGAGGTCTCACTCCGAATCAGTCGAGCGGCAATATCTTTTCATCGGTTGCGTAACGCTGTGTGGAAGCTACCTGGTCTGTCACTCCACACTAAGCTTCAGGTCTTCTCGGCCACAGTCATTCCCTCCCTTCTCTACGCTTGCGAAACGTGGACCCCCCTAATGGAACATCTTCGCCGGTTGGAAACATTTAGGCTGGCCTGCCTACGATCCATCCAGGGTTTAACCAGGCTGGATTGTGTGAGGAGCTCACAAATCCTTGAAAGATCTGGGCAGGGTCCCATCGGTGAGCTCCTCCGGCAGGCAAGGCTGCATTGGCTGGGTCATGTAGCCCGCATGCCCAGCCACCGCATGCCGAAACAGCTTTTGTTCGGCCGGATCGAGGGGGTTAAACGGGCGCGGCACGGGCTAGAGAAGAGATGGAGTGATGTGGTACAGGAGGACGTGGAGCTGAGCAGACTTGCCGATGACTGGTACCAGCGGTGTCAAGATCGGCCTCTGTGGAGGAGGCTCGTGAAGGACGCTACTGGGCAGTTGGAGGCAGTCGCCCTCCAACAACAACAGAGGGTGGAGGAGCGACGCTCACAACAACGAGCGGAGCTCAGGGTGGCTAAAGCACAGCAGGTTGGCACAGTAGGGGGCACAGGTGGTGCATCAGCCACTCATCTCAGTCATCTCGGTCAGTCGACCCGTGGCACCTGCTGGGTCTGCCCCGTGACCTCCTGCCCGCGGGCGTTCGACACTTCACGTGGCCTCAAGGTGCACATAGCCTGGCACAAGCGTCGTGGTGACGTCACCGCCACTTAGTGGCGAATGGCGGTTGTTGTTGAGTGTGTGTGTGTATGTGCACATCGTAGTGATGGCCAAAACATCACGCACCCACTCACCCATCACCCCCCCCCACCACCACCAACTCACCCACCAACCCACTCACCCACTCGCCCACTCACTCACCCACTCGCCAACTCATCCACTCACCCACACACTCACCCACCCACCGACTCGCCCACTCACCCACTCACCCAACTCACTCACTCACCCACCCACTCGCCCACTCGCCCACTCACCCACTCATCCACTCACTCACTCACCCACTCACCCACCCACTCACTCACTCACTCATCCACCCACTTGCCCACTCACCCACTCACTCACTCACACATTCGCCCACACGCCCACTCACTCACTCACCCACTCACTCACCCACTCACTCACCTACTCACTCACTCATCCACTCACTCACTCACTCACCCACTCCCTCACCCACCCACTCGCCCACTCACTCACTCACCCACTCACTCACCCACCCACTTGCCCACTCACCTACTCGTCCACTCACTCACTCACTCACCCACTCGCTCACTCACTCACCCACTCACTCACCCACTCACTCACCCACCCACTCACCCACTCACTCACCCACTCACTCACCTACTCACTCACTCATCCACTCACTCACTCACTCACCCACTCCCTCACCCACCCACTCGCCGACTCACTCACTCACTCACCCACTCACTCACCCACCCACTTGCCCACTCACCCACTCGTCCACTCACTCACTCACTCACCCACTCGCTCACTCACTCACCCACCCACTCACCAACTCACTCACCCACCCACTCGCCCACTCACCCACTCACTCGCTTACTCACTCACCCACTCACTCACCCACCCACTCACTCACTCACCCACCCACTCACTCACTCACTCATCCACCCACTCGCCCACTCACCCACTCACTCGCTTACTCACTCACCCACTCACTCGCCCACCCACTCACCCACTCACTCACTCACTCACCCACTCCCTCACCCACCCACTCACCAACTCACTCACCCACCCACTCGCCCACTCACCCACTCACTCGCTCACTCACTCACCCACTCACTCACCCACCCACTCACTCACCCACCCACTCGCCCACTCACTCACCCACCCACTCGCCCACTCACCCACTCACTCGCTCACTCACTTACCCACTCACTCACCCACCCACTCACTCACCCACCCACTCACTCATCCACCCACTCGCCCACTCACCCACTCACTCGCTTACTCACTCACCCACTCACTCACCCACTCACTCACTTATCCACTCACTCACTCACCCACTTCCTCACCCACCCACTCACCAACTCACTCACGCACCCACTCGCCCACTCACCCACTCACTCACCCACCCACTCACCCACCCACTCACCCACTCACTCACCCACCCACCCACTCACTCACTCATCCACTCACCCACTCACCCACCCACTCACCCACTCACTCATCCACCCACTCGCCCACTCACCCACTCACTCGCTTACTCACTCACCCACTCACTCATCCACCCACTCACTCACCCACCCACCTCCATCTTGGCTGTGGTCAAAGTCCCCCCTGAGGGTCGTGAGTCGCTCCGAGAATCTCCTGACCAGCACTGTCAGGCCCAGGATCTCGGCCGGGTCTCCGCCCGCCGGGCAGGAAGTGAGGCCCACCGCCACCGCCTCCTCCTCCTGCTCCTCCTCATCCTCCTCATCCTCATGCTCATGCTCCTCCTCATCCTCCTCCTGCTCCTCCTCCTCCTCATGGCCGTTGCCGCTAAGCCTCTTTCGCTGCCTCAACGTGGTGGTGGCAAAGCCGGATCTACCGCTACCGCCAACACCGGAGCTACTGCTACTGCTAACACCGGAGCTACCGCTAACACCGGATCTACCGCTACCGCTAACACCGGAGCTACCGCTACCGCTAACACCGGATCTACCGCTACTACTACCGCTAACACCGGAGCTACTGCTAACACTACCCCCGCCACCACCACTACCGCTACCACCAGTACCACCACTACCACCACTACCAACTCCACCACTACCACCACCACTACCACCACTACCAGCACTACCACCACTACCACCACCACTACCAGGACTACCACCACTACCACCACCACCACCACTACCACCAGTACCACCACCACCACCACCACTACCACCACTACCACCACCACCACCACTACCAGCACTACCACCACTACCACCACCACCACCACTACCACCAGTACCACCACCACTACCAGCACTACCACCACTACCACCAGTACCGCTACCACCACCACTACCACCACTACCACCACTACCAGCACTACCACCACTACCACCACCACTACCACCAGTACCACCACCACCACCACCACTACTACCACTACCACCAGTACCACCACCACCACCACCACTACTACCACTACCACCAGTACCGCTACCACCACCACTACCACCACCACCACCACTACCACCGCTACCACCACCACTACCACCACTACTACCACTACCACCAGTACCGCTACCACCACCACCGCTACCACCACCACCACCACTACCACCACTACCACCACCACTACCAGCACGACCACCGCCACCACCACCACCACCACCGCCGCCGCCGCTCCTGAGTGCCCCAAGTGATCCGAGCGATGAGGAGAGTTTGACGCCACGCGGAAGCGACCAGGACGAGGTGGAGGAGGTGGAGGAGGTGGAGGAGGTGGACGGGGTCGCGTTGGTGCTGACGGGACGTGGCAAGCCACGGAGCAGACGATGGGAGGATCGGGAGGAGGGGGTGGAGGAGGTGGAGGGGGTGGAGGGGGTGGAGGAGGTGGAGGAGGTGGAGGAGGTGGTGGAGATCTGAGGGAAGGTGGAAATCCCCGTGTTAAGTTGTTGTCACAGAGACCCACAGGTACAGCGAGGGAAACAAGTTTTTGATCCCGCTGCCGATTTTGTATGTTTGTCCACCGACAAAGAAATGATCAGCCTAACATTTCAACGGAAGGTTTATCGGTTGACAAACGTCAGCCTCGAAACCTTAATGACTTGGAGAAGATCTGCAAAGAGGAGTGGGACAAAATCCCTCCTGAGATGTGTGCAAACCTGGTGGCCAACTACAAGAAACGTCTGATCTCTGTGATTGCCAACAAGGGTTTTGCAGAGGGGTCAAATACTTATTTCCCTCATTAAAATGCAAATCAATTTATAACATTTTTGACATGCGTTTTTCTGGATTTTCGTGTTGTTATTCTGTCTCTCACCGTTCAAATAAACCTACCATTAAAATTATAGACTGATCATTTCTTTATCAGTGGGCAAACGTACACAATCAGCAGGGGATCAAATACTTTTTTCCCTCACTGTACCCATAGAGACTCATATACAGCCATAGAGCACAATAGAGACCCATAGACTAATCACCCATAGACTCCCATAGATATTAATAGACACCCATAGACACCCATACACACTCATAGACACCAATAGAGACGCATAGAGAAGAATAGACACCCATAGATACCCATAGATACCCATAGAGACCCACAGAGACTCACAGATACCCATAGATACCCATAGAGACCCACAGAGACTCACAGATACCCATAGATACCCATAGATACCCATAGAGACCCATAGACACCCATAGACTCATCACATAGACACCCATAGACTGATTACATAGACACCCATAGACTCACCATACAGACACCCATAGATACCCATAGATACCCATAGAGACCCATAGATACTCACAGAGACCCATAGAGACTCATAGACACTCATAAACACCCATAGAGAAACACAAAGACAGATAGAAACCCATAGACACCAATAGACTCATCACATAGACACCCATAGACACCCATAGACTCATCACATAGACACCCATAGACACCCATAGACTCATCACATAGACACCCATAGACACCCATAGACTCATCACATAGACACCCATAGACACCCATAGACTCATCACATAGACACCCATAGACTGATTACATAGACACCCATAGACTCACCATACAGACACCAATAGACTCATCACACAGACACCCATAGACACCCATAGACTCATCACACAGACACCCATAGACTCAACACACAGACACCCATAGACACCCATAGACTCATCACACAGACACCCATAGACACCCATAGACTCATCACATAGACACACATAGACACCCATAGACTCATCACACAGACACCCATAGACACCCATAGACTCATCACATAGACACCCATAGACACCCAAAGACACCCATAGACTCATCAGATAGACACCCATAGACTTACCACGTAGACACCCATAGACACACATAGACACCCATAGACTCACCACATAGACACCCATAGACTCATCACGTAGACACCCATAGAGACCCACATAGACACTCACATAGACACCCATATCGACACTCATAGATACCCATAGAAACCCACATAGACACCCATAGACACCCATAGACTCACCACACAGACACCCATAGGCACCCATAGACTCATCACATAGACACCCATAGACACCCATAGACGCATCACATGGACACCCATAGACTCATCACATAGACACCCATAGACACCCATAGACTCATCACATAGACACCCATAGACACCCATAGACGCATCACATAGACACCCATAGACACCCATAGACTCACCACATAGACACCCATAGACACCCATAGACTCATCACATAGACACCCATAGACACCCATAGACACCCATAGACTCACCACATAGACACCCATAGACACCCATAGACTCATCACACAGACACCCATAGACACCCACAGACACCCATAGACTCACCACATAGACACCCATAGACTCATCACACAGACACCCATAGACACCCATAGACACGCATAGACTCATCACATAGACACCCATAGACTCATCACATAGACACCCATAGACTCATCACATAGACACCCATAGACTCATCACATAGACACCCATAGACTCATCACATAGACACCCATAGACTCATCACATAGACACCCATAGACTCACCACATAGACACCCATAGACTCACCACATAGACACCCATAGACACCCATAGACTCATCACATAGACACCCATAGACTCATCACATAGACACCCATAGACACCCATAGACTCATCACACAGACACCCATAGACACCCATAGACTCATCACATAGACACCCATAGACTCACCACATAGACACCCATAGACACCCATAGACTCATCACATAGACACCCATAGACTCATCACACAGACACCCATAGACTCATCACATAGACACCCATAGACTCATCACATAGACACCCATAGACTCATCACATAGACACCCATAGACACCCATAGACTCATCACACAGACACCCATAGACTCACCACATAGACACCCATAGACTCACCACATAGACACCCATAGACTCACCACATAGACACCCATAGACTCATCACATAGACACCCATAGACACCCATAGACTCATCACATAGACACCCATAGACACCCATAGACTCATCACATAGACACCCATAGACACCCATAGACTCATCACATAGACACCCATAGACTCATCACATAGACACCCATAGACTCATCACATAGACACCCATAGACACCCATAGACTCATCACATAGACACCCATAGACTCATCACATAGACACCCATAGACACCCATAGACTCACCATACAGACACCCATAGACTCATCACATAGACACCCATAGACACCCATAGACGCATCACATAGACACCCATAGACTCATCACACAGACACCCATAGACTCACCATACAGACACCCATAGACTCATAACACAGACACCCATAGGCACCCATAGACTCATCACATAGACACCCATAGACACCCATAGACGCATCACATGGACACCCATAGACTCATCACATAGACACCCATAGACACCCATAGACTCATCACATAGACACCCATAGACACCCATAGACGCATCACATAGACACCCATAGACACCCATAGACTCACCACATAGACACCCATAGACACCCATAGACTCATCACATAGACACCCATAGACACCCATAGACACCCATAGACTCACCACATAGACACCCATAGACACCCATAGACTCATCACACAGACACCCATAGACACCCATAGACACCCATAGACTCACCACATAGACACCCATAGACTCACCACATAGACACCCATAGAGACCCATAGACTCATCACATAGACACCCATAGAAAACCATAGACACCCATAGACTCATCACATAGACACCCATAGACACCCATAGACTCACCACATAGACTCACCACATAGACTCATCACATAGACACCCATAGACACCCATAGACGCATCACATGGACGCCCATAGACTCATCACATAGACACCCATAGACTCACCACATAGACACCCATAGACTCATCACACAGACACCCATAGACACCCATAGACTCATCACACAGACACCCATAGACTCATCACATAGACACCCATAGACACCCATAGACTCATCACACAGACACCCATAGACTGATTACATAGACACCCATAGACTGATTACATAGACACCCATAGACACCCATAGACTCATCACACAGACACCCATAGACTGATTACATAGACACCCATAGACACCCATAGACTCACCACATAGACACCCATAGACACCCATAGACTCATCACACAGACACCCATAGACACCCATAGACACCCATCGACTCATAACACAGACACCCATAGACTCATCACATAGACACCCGTAGACACCCATAGACTCACCACATAGACACCCATAGACTCATCACACAGACACCCATAGACACCCATCGACTCATAACACAGACACCCATAGACTCATCACATAGACACCCGTAGACACCCATAGACTCACCACATAGACACCCATAGACTCATCACATAGACACCCATAGACACCCATCGACTCATCACACAGACACCCATAGACTCACCACATAGACACCCATAGACACCCATAGACACCCATCGACTCATCACACAGACACCCATAGACTCACCACATAGACACCCATAGACACCCATAGACACCCATAGACTCATCACACAGACACC